TATATATATATATATATATATATATATATATATATATATATAAATAATATATAAATATATATATATATATATATATATGTGTGTGTGTGTATGGGTCAGCTACATTTTGCTCACCCCAATTCGATGCGGAAGCCATTGATCTTGACCTGATAGTCCGCCCTGCCACAGCAGATGATCTCACCGTCGTCATTAAAGCGTGCTAGATCTCCAGAGTCGTACTGTTGAGGGATACCAAAACGTTTACGTTGCGTTGGTGATAACAGCCAACACCTTAAGACGAGGAAACGCATACTACGAGTGCGCGCTAAAGGACTACAGTTCAATGGAACAGCAAATCGAAGGCTAAGTGATACTACCAGTACACGTGAAAATAGGGCACGAGAAAGGGGGGCAGTGCAATAAGACGCCTCACACAATATCACACACACATGAACAGCCGCACCAGCTGGTCAGTCCTGAACGCTTTCTAGTCGTGTCCCGAACTTTTACAATTGTCTTTGAATTTAAATAACAACACAGTAATCTATTGGGCTAAGCTGCACCCGGGACATCAAGCGAGCAAATCGGTGTACACGGCCCTAAAATCCAAACCAGGACACCTTCAAGCGGCCTGCCCTCACTGGAAGTGCATACGAACAGGCGCACAACGGTCCAACTGCAAAACTTCACATCTCAAGCTTATAAGCAACGTGAGAAGCACTCATAGTGACGCTGCAACCAGACCTAACCCCACAATACTTACACGTTACCTACTACCATCCACTCCCTTGCACCTCATCTACTGTAAGAATGCTCTCCTTATGTACCTACACTGTAAGAATGCTCTCCTTATGTACCTACCATGATGGGGTTCTCTACATCTGTGCGGAATGGGTCGGGGATGAATTTCTCGGCTGTGATTTCCGGTCGCTTGTTGTACCCGCGGGCGTTCTGTTCACCCCCCAGGAATAGCTTGCCCTGCTTTCCCGGGGCCACAGGCTGTAGAGTATCCATATCTGTGGCAAAATACAGTACGTTTGGTTATCTGTGGCAAAATACAGTACGTTTGGTTATCTGTCGCAAAATACAGTACGTTTGGTAGGTTGAGTGGAGAGGGTGACGGTGACAGAGGTCTAGGGGACGTCTAACGTGTCTGTGGTTGGTGTAGTTGAGAGTGTATAGTACCTTTGATGCATGCACACGAGGTTGGTGTGATATGGGGGCACCATTCCGTGGAAGTCACGCTGTGCAGACACCTCACTTGTAACTCACACATACGCCAACGCGTGTATTCGATAATGTTGTGTATCGCGTGCTTATCCTCCTATCTCATCCTTGAGTATGGTTCACAGCCCACACAACCGGCCCTAAAATACCGGATCGAGGACACACAGGCTGTACACCCGGGTGCAATGGTGTGCCCCACAGTAGTAGCATTGTTGTGCATACCCAGAATATAGGCCGTGGTGTTTTGGATGGGCCGCCCAATGGTGGGAGGAGAGGAGAGTTTGCCCTCAATGCGTTTAGCGGTACACCACACCGTCACCTCAGTTGGGCCGTACATATTCCTGTGGACCGGATGCACGGGTTATGGCGCGTCAACAGAGTGGTTGTAGGTATGAGTTCAGGTATAGGCGTTGGTAGATAAGTACCAGATGCCGGTGTATCATGGTTTAGAGTCTTTCACTCTACGAGTGCCCTGGTAATACGACCAGCCCTGTCTCGGCTGCTCTATTGCTTTGTTCTGTATTGATTTGCTCACTTTCCGGCAAAGGGGTTTAATCCCTACACACTCATTTATCTATAGCCTATGTAATTCCTATGTATATCACGTGTATATCATATGCACTTCACATGGTTTTCCCCTATGTGCATTTATGTATATGTACACATATGTATTCTATGAATAGCTCTTTCCTCACTTTCTATCACTGAACGTAAACGCTGGTGTCTCCGCGTACACATCATTGATGCTCGTGTTCTATTAATAGATCCTCGCATACTCGCTACCTACCACAACTCCTTCACTCTGGGCGTGAGATTGTTGGCCAAGCTCACGGGCAGAGGCTCACCACCGCACAGAATAGTCAGTTCTGGGTCACCGACCCACGCGCTCTCAATCAGAATAGACCATGTGGCCGGAGTGGCCTGGTTGTGAGTGGGGATGTGCAACTTGACAGTGAGGATATGTACATGCACGCGTAGCACAGTAGAGAGGGGGAAGCGTGACCGTTTGATGTGGACGTGCAGAGTCGGGAGAAGGCAATAGAGCCTTATCTATGTACCTAACTTACATGTCACATGGGTGTAGGGGATCAATGGGGCGACACCAACAAGACATAGCAATTGTAGATGCCAAGGCAAATCACACAGTCATCCGCTGACCACTGGCTGGGATATAAGATAAGAGTTTAACCTAGTTGCCGTCGGATCGATATAGATGCATTTATACATACGAATAAACTATTAGTTTTATTTGCATATGCAGATATGGCTCGTATCAGAACACACCCCGAAGATGGACCCGCATATCGTGGGTTAGATATATGTATAAGGTTATTGCCAAACGTTCAATTTATGTAGCTTTATATACTGATACTGATTTAGAGGTAACGTTTCATCCGTATGATGTAGAAATAAAGTGCGGATAGACTGTGCTTCGAGTGGCCTGGTACAAGCGAAACACAGCAATCAAACCCGCAGTATTAGAGTGCATTCACATATTATATAGATTAACCGGTGATAGGCACATAACATTATGACCCAGGACAAACAGGAACAGGTGCACTATCCTTAACCCAAAACTAACAAAACAGGCGCACTATCACTGACCGAAAACTAACAGGACAGGTGTACGTAGTCCCAAAACACGAGAATCCAATACACCCCACTCTGAGCCCTGAATATGGCCCCGAGGGTGCATTCCAACGCACGCTCACGAAACAACCCCAACCACGCACTTCAATTGCAGTTGAAAAGCGTCTAGCGTTATACACAGCTGACTTTACAAAGCTCACCAAGTAGTCGGTAAAAGAGGCTTAGGGTTTGGGTTGAAGGGATTTAGGGATGTAGGATTTTAGGGTTTAAAGATTTAGCGTTTTAGGGTTTTAAAATTCAAAGATTTAGGGATTTAGGGATTTAGGGTTTTAGGGTTGTCGGCCATACCTGGATGATATCCGGCTTGGTGTTCGCAATGAGTGTTTTCAGTGCTATCCCATCTCGTTGTGTTTTGGCGCTGCATATGATGACCTGAGCGTGTGGGGACCGTACACATATGGGACTGGGGTGAGAGAGTGTATGTACATCGTACTGTATTTATATTAGGTGCTGCAACTAAAATTGATCGCATATAGATATTTTAGGGTTTTAGGGGTTGGTTAATCTCTGTTATTGTATACGTACATACAAATCCATACAGTAGCCTGTGTGTCTGCTCGCAGGATCTATGTGCAGGCGCACATGCTAATTTCGGCAATTGTACACACCCACTCAGTAGTTCATACAAATCCATACAGTATCTGTGTGTAAGTGTGCCCACACTCTAGAAGGATCTATATGCAGGAGTATAGGTGCTTGTATGAAAACGTCCGTGCTAACATATATCTCTGTACGTATGTGCCCTGAAATAAACGTACCTCAGTGCAAGCTACCTTCTACGCAGTGTCACAGTATCTGCCAGACAACACTTAACCCCACTGGCGACGGTACAATATTCACACAGGTGTATGTACGCGCAAGGGTTGTGCAATGCATGTGTACGAGTGCCTCCTACCGTTCCGCCGGTGATCAGTGGCATGAAGAGCTCCATCACAGAGATGTCGAAGCAGATGGTCGTCATGGCCAACAGCCTGCACAGAGAAAGGGGTACATCCGAATTGACTGGGTGGCATGATAGAGAGATATGTACGCAAAGGTGGTGTACAGGATGGAAAGGAGTATCCAAAATACGTTGTATTTGGGAAGTAGGTATGCTAAAAATAGAATGCATTGGAGATGGATAACGAATGGTATCAGTTTCGGACCAGCAGCAAGGCGGTACACGACATGGCTTTGCGTGATGCGCTGCAGAAGTACTTTAACGCATGTATAAATACCGAACGTCTAGACATGAACAACAATAGAAGAATGTAGGTATATAGACGAAAGTATGGTCAATATTTTTGAATCTCTCTCTACGCTCTAACGTCTAGACCTGAACAATAGAATAAGAACAAATTCGATAAAATCATGAAGACCTTGTATATTATTATCAATTCTTGTGCGCTATATTCTTCGCGCTATATATATATACATACACACACACACACACACATA